CATAGCTCATTGCATCTGAAGTAGTTTGTTGGCATCAGCACATACTATACACACAAAAAAACTAACGAAACGTTCAAGGGGAAAACAAGAAGAAAAGGGAGTGCTTAAATTAAAATTTATTTATTCTACTTGCGCACATAAGTAGGCTACAAATTTGCGCGTTAACCTCAATAAAGCCAGCAGCCTGTACGCTCCTTTTGAATAGTTTCCAATTCGTTGGTTCTGTAAGACGACTTTATGCAGCGAAAAATAATCACAAAAAGTATATACGAGTAGAAGCACATAATTAACGTGCATTGATTGACGCTGCATCCGCCCAAAACCATTTACCATTTACTTTAATGTGCTTAGCAACACCAATGTTCACGCCCACGCTGAGCTAACCGAGAGCCCACAGACCCTTTATTCAGCTGCAATCGAAATATTTAATTAGTGCACAAATGCCTTTGAATGCTAATTAGTGGCAAATTAACATTTGAGTAGGGCTCATGTTCGTGTTCGTGTGCTGCATTCCTAGAATTTTTGTTCCGATATTTTACCCTTTTTTCCCTACACCCACAAGGTATATTAACATTTTTCGTTATATGTGTAACACGTTAACCAGACTATCTCTTAAAAAAAATACATCCAAGCAGCTAGATATATATTTTATATCCATGATATATTATCGATTATGTGTTAGTATGATAAAGTGTGAAAGAAAATGGCGAGGTTATACCAAAAAACATCATCGTATTTAATTGGAATAAAAAATACGTATTTTTCCTCATACGATTAAAGTTTTAAAAATGAAAATCGTTATCGGTATTACTTGGAAATCAACCTTTTATATAAAGTCCAGTTTAGTGATTTAGTTAAAGCCCAGAAATAGTAAAGCGCATTTAAAAGTCATGTCAGCTTGTCTCTTCTTTATTTTCATAGCACATTTCATCAGCATGGCAAATTAAAGACAGAAACGCGCAGGCCAATCAAAGTAAATTAATCAAGTCTTCTTCTGCTGGCCAATCCACTGCCAATCAATCAGCAATGTTGTAATTCGCCACCCTTGCAGTAACCCCCATTATTGCGGACCCCTTTTGTTTGATTACCAAAGGCATAGAGAATTATTTTTATAAGCATCGAACTCTGCTCGCTGCGTTTGCTTTTGTTTTGCTTACACAAAATAAATATTGATGCGATTTTCGCTCGTTCGCTCTTTTTGTCATTATTTATTATTATTTAATGCCCTGCACAGCCCCCCGCCTTCCTCGACGCCAGCACCCGTATCTGCGCGCACACACAAACAAACGGAGTGAGCAACGAAAATTTGAGAAATGTTGCATGAAGTGTTGGTAAATGAGTTTGAATTTTATGTGCGGACGAATGCGTTTTCAATTTATTTTCGTATACAAATTTTTCATGGAAAATTCAATTTTATTTATTTATGATTACGACAAGCGATTTTTTCTGTTGCGTTACCCAAGCCGAGGGGCAGTTTTGTTTTTTTTTTTTTGTTGCCGCTGCTGTTGTTGTTGTTTTTAACAACACATAAAAAAAATGCCTCATAATTTTTACAAGGGATTACTCATGTAAAAAAGGCTGAGTGTTTCCAATTCTTAAACCTTAAATTGTGTATTTTGATTTGTTGAATGTTATACTATAGTCCCCAATATATTTAGGTTAATATATTTTTAATACCATTGTAATGTGCTTAATATGACAATTTAGCCCCCATTTTACTCAACATCGTAAATTCCTTTTCTCTTACTCTCATTTTAAGTTTCATCAGACATGCATAACCAGAGAACAACAACAGACCAACAACGTGATATGACAAGACCCCATTTAGTCCCTAAATACTTTTATATAGTATGTATCTTTATAGACAAAAAGCTTTTCATACGTATATATTCTCAATATTCTATATTTTATAAGGCAGATAGTGAATAGTGATAGTGATCGACAGTCAGACGGACATTGCGATTTGGATTCGGTCCATCGTGCTGATCATATACTTAGTACATGTTTATGTTTCTTTGAACGTGTGGTCTACCCTTCCTTTTTCTAGATACTACAAAATTACACATCAAAAACAATACACCCTTACAGATCTCTAGGGAGAGTATAAAATAGTGTTTGGCACTATGGTGTACTGCCCTGGACAGTCACGGCGGACATTTGTGGGTCAGCATTGCACTGCGCACTCTTTCCAAAAAAACACTCTGTGGCTGGCGCTTTTATTAATGAGCTGCGCAACAAAGAAATTTCTAGGTAGAGTATGTGAGTATAAAATATATATATATTTTTTCCATTTTGCGACTAAAACGCGACGCGATAAACTATTTTCACATAACTGTGTGTGCAATATTTCAGTTAGTTGTAGAAGCAGTTTTCAAATTGTGCAGAATATTTCACACACAACGTCGCAGAACTGTAAATAAAATTGCGTTCAAATATTGTAACACACGCACACACATACGTACATTGTAGCGTTGTATGCATGTGTTTGGTTCGTCCTGTTTGCTGCCATACAATAAACAAGCGAGCTGCGGCCCTAGCCACGTTTGTCTGTTTTATGGTTCGGGACTGCATGTGTTGCCGCTACCGCCATTGTCCACATTTAAATATTTGCACAATATTTGAATATTTTCCATTTCCATTTGTAAAATGCAAACCTTGCGCGAAACACATGGGCAGACAAAATGTCGCTTGCTTTCATCAGCTGCTGCAGCAGCAGTAGCGGTGATAGGAGGCGTGGCTGCGGGGCAGGATGTTCTGCGATTTGTTCATTAAATTGACATGTAGAACAACAAGTAGAAAGGCATCCAATATACAAGTACATACTATACATATATGTCTATGTATCTGCGCGTACTTGCGCTCGAATGCACAAAAATGAGAAGTGTGAAGTTTTTGTAGAATCTACTATATATACGATTATTTGGTTTTCAGCATATTCAGAAATACTAGTAGTTAGGCGTTCCACTTTTACAAAAAAGCATTTGTGCTATCAAAATTACACCTATTTAAACAATCGGAAATTTTGAAGGCCATTGAAATGACTTTAAATCTGCCGACTATATGCATTTTTTAGTTGATTCACAAATGCGAATGATTGTAGAATCCTTATGCGGGTATTTGGTTTTCTGCATCTTTAGAAATTGCCGTAGCTTGTAGTGGACAAGGAATTTGTTGGGTTAATGTTTAGGCAACTAAGCAACCATAGCCAATTCAACAACCGTTTAAGTTCCCAAATGCTCTCCCTCTCTCTTTCGAAGTTAGAGTAGAAATATTCAGCTGCTGGAAAGATCCCATTAGGATTCTCTCTCACAATGCAAAGAGTAGGTACGTTGCAAAACGCTTCGCAGTCGTTTGTTCTTTCTGATTTCAATTGGCAAGTGACGCAGACGTTCCTACGAAACAATACTACAAGCAAAGTGCAAGTTATATTTTAATGGTGAAAATTACGTAAATTACATATAAAATACTGGGGAAACTCTACCGTCGACGACTGAAGACCTCTGGCGTTGGGTTGAATTTCGCATCGTTGCCTCGTATAGTGAGGAATCTCAGCAGTGGATATACATACATACATAAATATTTGTGCGAGACTCAGCATAGGAAAGTGCCAAGATAAAAACCTTATGGCCTTCCGCGACTCGTCTCTTTCACATATGATTACATCGGAAATATTATCGGCAGTGTTCCAGACAGATAGTGGTAATATTTTTCTTACCAAAATTCGCCCGAATTACATAATTTAATCACACTTTTAAGTAAGTTGAAATTTTATGAAGTCTTGACAAGTCTTGACAGAAGGATCAACCATAGCGGCCTAGTCTCTGTATAGGGGCAATTCTTAACAATATTTACCTCCCCGAATTGCCACGGTTGGGTGGGTGCAGGCGAGGATATGGACAACTCCATCTAGTTTCATATAACTTTCCGTAGCGCCGCGTAATCTCTCTTCTTATCAAAGCCGATGGGTCATCGATCAATAGGAGTGGTTCCTTGAGACCGCAGTTTACTTTGAGGTTCCTTTGATTGTTTTCTTGTATTGATAAGTTTCGTTTTGAGTAGATTCAGTTCCCGTGCACTTATTTTTCTTAGTATACCAGTGTGTTAAGAGGCGTAGGTTGGAGAAAGATCCCCGACCCCATCCGACGAGCGAACCACAGAGCGGTGTATAGTGCACGACCCCTCTCATCCTACCCTCCCCAGTGTCGATGATGGAGAGAAATAGCCCATGGACCCGGCAGTACGCAGTATATAGTAAGGGCCAACCTGGAGCACCATCGACATTGTATTGTGCAACAACAACACCAGTTACACGTTATCATTACCTCCACCGCCGCATTATCATGATAATGGTGGCCAACGTGTTGCACAAAGGATCATACATTATGTATATTACAAGCTTAGCGTTCCATTTGTACGAAAAAGCAGTTGTGCTATCAAAATTTATAGTTATTAATCGCAAATTTTGGGTGCCATTAAAATGACTTTAAGTCGGCCGACTATATGGATTTGTAAATTTATTCAAAAATGTGCGACTAAACAATTGAGATTGATTGTTTTGCTAACAGAAGAAATTTATACAATCAATGCAAAATCAATATGAATATATTTTTGCTTGAGAAATATGAATTTCAAATAAATAGAAAATAGTACGGGAAGGAACATTAAACTAAATAAATATAAATTAAATTTGGCACATATCTTTGATAACTTAATTGGGTTTGCATATAAAACAAATTCATTTTACATGTTCTGCCTAATCTAAGTATTTTTATTTGAACCAACCATTTGCTTTTAAATGGTGGAATTGGACACCTGTCTATTGTATTTCAAAATAATATATATTTTTCCAATTATCCGTCTATATCTCTACAATCGCAGCAATAAAATTTATTTAATTGCGAGCGATACTATAAAGTGCTGCATATTTGCCGTCAGCGTGGACTGTTTAAATATTTCTCCTTTGCACACGCATACATACACAGCTACACAAGGATACTTACATCAACATTAATGCCCGAAACAGGGAAGACAAGCGTCGGCGTCGTCTCTCGCGGCACATAGCGATAGAATTCCTCGTTGCCAAAGTACCAGCGGACCGAATACAACGCAGCCTGTGAAGCAGAAGATGTTGGAGGAGAAGGTGAATAAAAAGCACACCGTGCAATGGCATGCAATGCGTTAATGAAAAGTGTGAATGGAAAGTGGCGCAGGCGACAACAACAACGACAGCAACAGCAACAGCAACAATAAGAGCAAGAAGAACGACAGCTTGCAAGACAAAGTGCTAGTAATTATAATAATTAAGTAAGCCATCATCGTTGTCGTTGCCACTGTCTGTGCTGCTTCTTAAGGAAGTGTCACTTACCTGCTCCAAATCGTATTGACAAGACAATGTCGCTGCATTGCCCATGATGACAGCTTCGGGTACGAATATCTTCAGATCCTTGAGACAATGTGCTGTGTTGTAAAATGAAAGGCAGACAGAGTTGTTAAAAAATGTTGTATTAAAGAGCCGTAAATGTCCATTAATCGAATGTGTGTTTAAAGTGCGCAAATATTTGCGTACGCCATGTGCCAACAATTCGAATTCGATTATGAGAGTGTCGCTACTCAGAAACTTAATTACGCCATTGGCACATGTTAATTTATGACAATACTCTGCTATATGGACTGAAAGGGTTGCAATAGTGTGAGGGAGGGGGGAGTGGAGTTGGAAGCGCGACAATTTCGACTTTGGATTACATTTAATTTAATTTAAATCATTTTTTATGACCTGTACTGCTTTGTCCTGCATTCTCTTTTTGCTTACAATTGAAAATGCAATGTGCTCGTTGCTTTAAATCATATATATAACAAATGCATACCAATGCTGCCCAAAAAATAACGGATTGCGTGACTTAATCGCTGTGTTTTCGACAATGCAAAATGAATATATTCGTATTAATTCTTTGTATATCTCGGATATCTGGGAGTTCTAATAAAAATGAACATACCCATATCTCAAAATTAAATTGCATTAAATTAAAGTGTTTAGATCAATTAAAAGTTGGTAACTTTCCAATATGATAAATGCCACCTGTGAGATTATAAAATTTAGGTAAGCTGAATTCAAATTTGTAATTGCAGCTTTTGCTTGCATGCTCTAACGAATCTACTATTCTGCGTTTGTTGAATCACGGTCACGATGACAATGGCCATATAAAATAATGCGTAAAAGTAACCTTAAATGAAGACTTCAATCATTTCGCATATCGCCAATCATAAATCATTCAATTTTCATCACTATCGCTCACACATAAGGGCTCCAGTGCGCACGGTGCGTATACGCAATGCAAACAAGTAAAAAAAGCTAAAGTCGGGTGTCCCGACTTTGAAATACTCTGTACATATGTTTACAATAATTATAGAAAATAAAAAAATTAAGAAATTTAAAAAAAAATTATTGATCCATTTTACCTTTCTCGGTATTCAAACTCACGTAAATGGTGTATAATTGCACATTTACTTAGCAATTGCATCTGTGTGAGTGTATGTATGCCTATGCGCATCTATTCGTCTCTGTGTAAACATGTTAGCAGTCAACCAAACAGCAACATCAACAACAGCCGCAGGCAGCGCTTGAGCAGCGCTACAGCAGCAAATATATTTATGGTTAGAACTTATTGTTAAATCGGTCTATTATAGTGAAACTTGGCAAACGGACACATAATAACCAACAGAGGGTACATAAGTTCGAAATTCCAAGAATAACGGGAGTTAGACAAAATCGCGGTGGAGAGGGGGGAAATTCCAAAATATACATTTTCTGCGTATTCACATAAGGCGTCTGGGACTAAAATTTGGTGTTCCTAGGTCTTATAGTCTCCGAGATATAGGCGATTATACGAATGGAAAATCGGGAAAACCCCCATAGGGGGGAAGTGGGGGGGGGAATCATAAAAATAAAACAAATTCGTATAGTGTACACACATAAGGCATCTTTGTGTCTCTAGCTCTTATAGTCTCTGAGATCTAGGTGATCATACGGACGGACGGACAGACAGACAGACAGGGCTTAATCGACTCGTCTTGTCATGCTGATCAAGAATATATATACTTTGTGGGGTCTGCCACGCCTCCTTCTGCCTGTTACATTTTTCAGCTCGCGCAAACCTAATATACTCTTGTACATTTCATGTACAGAGTATAATAAATGAACTGCGGGACACACGCCCACATATCATTTCAATGCAAAGCAAAGCGGCAAAGCGGCATGCCGCTCAATGCGTCGCCTGGTCGGTTGACTGTGGTTCGCCAAATTATGGCAACTTTAATTGAACAAACCGATATTAATCAAAAATGTTGGTGTAAAATTTAACGATGTGAGCAGCCAACCATGCTCGTTATATTTAATAAATTGACTGCAATTTGCCGAGTGTGCAAGTGTAAGAGTGTGTGTGTGTGTGGGAGTGTGTGTGTGTTGGCTGTGCATAATATTAACAGTTATTTGGCAAATTAAATAATCAATTTTAACCACATTGACGCACGCAGTTGGCATAATAAATTCAACTTGTTTAACATGGCAGGGCAGTCAGGCGACCGCATTCGTCAGACCCTACACACTCACGTGTAATATGCATGTACATATAGTATGTATGTATATACATATGTGCATAAACAGAGAGACAGGAAGGCAACCGCAATAAGCCAAATGCATGCACTCTACGAGTATAATGTAAATGCCTGTTGTCCTTACCAGTGAGCAATAAATCGGAGATTATAATCCAGCTCATCGCCAGCATATTGAAAGTTTTATATAAAGTAGTGAAGATGCTTCCTTTTCTGATTCCTACATGTCGCCGTCTTTGTTGTTGCTGTTTCCATTGCTGTTGCTGTTGCAGTTGTTGTGGTTGGTGTTGTTGTTGCGCATGTAGGGATTGTCCTGCAGACGGCCCGACGAGGATCGCGACTGTGTCGTGTGCCCGCCTGTTGGCCATTTCGTTGTGTTGGGTTCAAGCTGCAGTCAAGTGCACACACTGCAAAGAGTTTAGAGTGGCAAAGTGCTAGGCATAAGTACGCATTTATATCTATTTATATATTATACAAGTACTATATTCATGTAAAGTTGGCACAAAAGTAAAGTACGAAAGTTTCAAGCACAGTTGAAGTTATTCGTAAAGAACAGAAGAAATGTAGTCAACTACAATATTCCACATGATGGAAGGTGCAGACTTGCAATTGAGCTTTTCAATTAAAATTACTTAAAATAGCGCTTTTGTGAAACGCAATATAAATTCACCATTATCCCAATTGCTGAGGAGTTGACTCTTATAATCGCCCTACTTGCATTAAAGCTCATATACTTATGATCCTCCTGTATAACGCCTCTTTAAGCTCATATCTTAAGCCAAACCGGAACATTTCATGAATCAGCTTAATCTAAAGTCATATTAACAACTTTTGCATAATTTTCAGTTAAAAAAATTTGACTAATGCGGTAAACTCTTTGAACTCATTTTTTCGTAATTATTATTTTATAAAATCTGCTGGCTTTTTGCTCGAGCTGCCATAGATGGTTGCCATTAAGGGAAGGTTAACTTTTGATACAGATGACAAGCTGGATACACGCATTTGGGACTATCAGGAAGAAGAACAACATCAACTAAGTACTTGCGCTTATTGATAACTATTTTGAGTAGCAAAAAACAAGAGCGACGAGGGAAACTAAGCTTTTCAGTTGGTGAAAATTGAAACGCTTTTTGTTGCAATTCTAACACTCATGTGCTTTTTTTTTGCAGCTATTTTATCATTTGTGTAGACACACTCATACACACATGAGAGCCAAACGCAGTGCTAGTAAATTGACAGAAAAGCAGCTCAACAAACTTTTGCGAGCCTTGCTGCAATGACATGTGAAGCACTTCACTTTGTCTATGCAACTTTGTCGTTGTCGTTGTCGTCCCCATCGTTGAGACACAGATACGTGACTTAAACTTTCCGCCTCAAAGGCAATGTCACACGTTGAGCACAGACAGAGAAAACCTTTAACTAAACAACGTACATTGATATATATACGAGTATAGTATGTACGTATACATCTATGTGCATATTGCAAAATGTCATTACGCATACGCCACGTGTGCCCCACATCTGAAACTTCAGCTGGAGCTCAATAAGCAGGCGTGTCGTTGATTGACAGACTGCATTGCTCAGTCCTGCTTCTATTTCTGTTTTTGTTTCCGTATCTCTTGCAGCTCCAGTTGTCTGTTGTCTCCTCGCTATTGACTGTGGTCCGTTGTCTTCAATGCTTTCGTTAGCTGTCTGCGTTCCGAAATTGATTTGTTTTGCTCGAGGGTACACCGCGGGCGAGCAGGGAAGGTGTTCAGCAGTAAACTGACCACCGACCATTGAAAACAATTGTCAACTGCTGTGTGCCATGTCGACGGAGTCAGGGCGCTTCTTCTTCTATTCCTGATGCTGACTGCATTTGTAACTTTGGCCAGTTGCTCCATTTTACTTACTTCCCATACACATTGTTTTCTTGCTAACAAAACTTGTGTGAGTTGTTGCAAGGACTCTAACTGTGACTGTGTAGTTTGGCATCTCCCTCCCTCTCTCTCTCTCTCTCTCCAACTCCCTTGTATCAATTAAGCCACAAAATCGGCAAGAGATTCGTTGTTAGTCTGGCAGCCGCAAACAAAGCTTATGGCCAAAAGTTGAAAATCGAACAGCAGCAGCTTATTGCCATTGAGGCATTATTCAGAATCAAAACAAATATGCTATAAATATATTATGGTCTACAGCAAGAAGGGCATTATATAGATGTAAGAATATTAGTTTTGTATTTTAAATGGACTCATCATGCAATAAATATTGATCGCGCTCTTGTATAACTATCTAGCTTGCACAAAGATACTAACTCATTAACTAATTAAAGAGAAGCTTGTGAAAACCAACTCAATATATACATATAAATCCTCTTGATAGGCAATCGATGTTTAAAAAGATATTGGGATGTTGGATGTGCTGAGAAGATGAAGGGACAAACTCAAAGACTCGTTTTAGTTTCATTTGTGCGACCTATTAAAGAAAGGATAAAGCAACGTTATTTAATTTAAATTTCTTTACATCGACTGTGCAGACATTCAGACTCGTTGCTTCTGGCGCATTAAAAACTTATTATTGTTGCTGACTAACGATTAAGGCAGCTCGACACATACACACAAGAATTTACACACATACTCGTACAGACTTTAAGTATTTATTGCATATTCATTTTGTGTGCTCCTTTACATGCTCACATCGCCTGCACATTCTTTGTATTATCCAGAGCATAAACATAAACCTCTTATGCCATAATGCCCAGCCATTTACTGCTTTTAATTTTAAATACCATTTCCGCATCCGTAAATGTGGCATACACACAAACGCACAACACACACACACATAGATACAGCCAGCATGTTAGTGAAGTTAGTCGCTTGTCGTTGCCTTGACCAAAAGGCAAGAGCACACAACAGTGTCCACCGAGTCCGCAATACATGTACACACAGATACACATACACAACTCTCCAATCATGCTGTGCTTTTAAGCGTGCAAAACCTCGTCTCAAAGTTATTTGCAGCAATTCAAAATGTTTTGCGTTCAGCCCTCAGCTCTATACTCATCGTCCTTGCTCGTCAATGTCCTGGGTATACTGGCAGTCGCATTAACCCAACACTAGGCTAAACAACTGCGTTTCACATTCTGCTTTTGCATGCCAGTCGAGGCATCTACTTGGACGCCGTTTCATTCAGTTTGCTTGGTTTTCGGCTACTGCCTTTAATATTTGCGTGTCATTTTGCGAATGTTGGACTTCAAAATCGAGCTGCTTGGCCGAGCAATTTGAACAAAGGCACCATCACATCCAGAGCGATACGATAGCGATGCGAAGTGGCCGGAGTGGAGTGGAATTAGATTGAGGTCGAGAACGAGCCGATTCGATTTGTTAGCCCGGCTCAGTGTTTTCAGTTGGCCGTGTGGGCAAAATTTATGCGTGCGGTTGCCATACTAAATGCTCTCATGTGAGCATTAAAATTAAATTTAAATATTATTGTTGTAGTGTAGTCGATTAAGTTAGATTAACTGGAGCAGAGCAGAATGCGTCTACGATCCGATCCGCTTTCTCTCCAGTCACAATTTCAACTTTAATGTCTGTTTTATTGTTAAAAGTTACCCGGTCTCCTGCAACTAATATACATACATAAACATACACACACACACACACACACGCACGCACACAAACACACACTCCTTCGTTTGTGTTATGATGAAGCACAGAGGCGGATGCTTTGCGGTTCTTGGTTGTTGGCTCTTCATTGTTATTATGCTATTGTTTTTGTTGTCAGCCATTGGCCTGATTATAATTGTTTTTGTTGTTGTTTCTTTGTTTCGTCATAGGAATTTCCGAAATTCATTCTTCGCATAAATTTAATAAAAACAATTTTCAAATATTTCATTATGATTTTAATTGAAATTTTCCTCTCAATGCTATATTCCCGTCACCATACCATACCAGAACACACACATACTTACATGCATAAACAAAGAGGAGAGCTGCGCTTTGATTTAAGAAAGCAAGTGGAAATTAATTATGCCACTAATGAATGATAGTGAAAGTTTTGAATGCAATCGCTTATCGCTATGAGTACGTTAGAATTAAAGACAGTACATTTATGCGGTAGTGAGTCCGGGGTCCTCGAATTTTATAGATCGAGCAATAAATTCCTAATCCTAGTTTGCAACAAGAATGTCCTTATTTATATATATAAGCAAAAACAGATTCATTGACCAATACGTTGATTAAAAATATAGCTAACGCTATCTTTAAATTAAAAACATACATTGTTATATTATTGAGTGGAAATATATACAAGTATTGCAACAGCATCAGAACAAATATCGCTACCCCGCTGCTGTCCTTTAACCCGTTTATAACATACATTCAACCGGCTTGTGTCCCCCCAATCTGCGCTCAGACAAACACTCTTTGACTCATGCACTTCCTGCGAAGGACATAATTAAAAAAGTTACCAAACCCATAATAAAAGCTTGCAGTGTCTGTATATACTTATTAATTCGCATGTATCTGTATGCGTGCGCTTAAGTTTTTTAAAGTGTAATAAAACAGTTGATTATGGCATCATTAACGAAATCTACGCAAACAACAAAAACTGGGGCAGCGAAGAAAGCGATACGCTCTCCTACTCTCTCTTCTGCCATCTTAAAATAATCAAATTAATTTTTTATGTGAAAAGTTTGCAATACTACCAATAAGAGCTCATCATAAGCGATTCCCAGTGCTTACTGAGCTTTGAAAATGGCATGGAGCTTAATAGAAAATAATTCAGCTTTGGGTCGGGATGAAGTTAGAAATGGAGTTGGAGCTGGAAGGAAGCGGAAAATATCCCTGACAAGAAATGTAAATCGGAATGAGAATGAGAATGGCGGATATTCAAATGCGAAAGTCAAATCAAAACAAAACAAACGAAAATCCGTAATTGACAACATTTCAACTGATAATGAGTACTTCGTTTGAGACAGATAGCTGTAGCCACAGAGGGAGAGGGAGAGGGAGAGTGAGGGGAGGAGTAAGGTCTGCTCCGAATTGGGTTCTTCCTATTATCCTGTGCTGGACACTCTGTGTCCGGCTTGGCACTGATACATGGAATTTGAGGCACAGAGGCATTTGTGCTGCAGCAGCAGCAAAGACTATATCAGAATGAATGTCAATTGAGGGCATGATTTTGTTGAATGGCAGCTGGATAGTCCGGATAGTCCGGGCTGTCCGAACATGCAACAATGCTGAGCAAGCAGCAGAATTGACTACAACATTGTGGGTCGCACTGAAATCGAGTACAATAATAGCAGCAACTGGCAGCTGTAATCGATTTCTCTTGATTTCATGCCACGTTCTACGACATTTGAGTTAACTGGCCACGTAACCAATTTACTAATATATAGAATAGTATGTATATCTCATCAGCTGGCCACTTA